TAAATTATTCTATTAGTATTTCCATTTTTGACCGATTTTTATCAATTGAATTTGTATTATTTCGGGAAGGAATGAAGCTTTTGAAAGTTTGTAATTACAGCTGTTTTCGATTTAGTTGAATCAATCAATTTTGCAGATCATTTTTCTGAATCCCGTGAATCCCGTGAATCCCACGATCATACTATAGGTAGCTACCTTTTATTCGTTGTATCCTGTAAAATTCATTTTACAATTAGTGATTATTTCTCGCTTATTGATAGATTTCCTTTTTACAGGCTCTCTTTACAAGAGATATATCACGAATACACATGAATACTAAAACAGTTTAAGTGAATTTTTGAAATAATTATTTGTAATTGTTAGCAGTTTATCGTAAACAATGTACTGTATATATCAAATCAGAGTTGGTATTGGAGTCAATGGATCTCAAAAATTAGTATCCGTTAGCTTCATTAAAAGCATTTTTCGCAGCTTTATTGGATTTCATTAAACTCCATTGCCAACTCTGTACCAAATAGAGGTTCTATATATAGTCGTTATAAAGCTTTTATCATAATATTAGTATGTTTTCATCAAAACATCTTAAATATAAATTTGGTGCTTGTTATGGTTGCCAAAAATGTCTTTTCTGTTTTAAAGATTTAAAAAATGAAAGCTGTTCATGCGATTTAAAAATAAAACCATCTTGTACTGACACTATTCGATCTGAACATGGCCAAGAAGTTTATAATCGATGTTATAAAATTTTCAAAACTCGTTTAGCTCAAGTTACTTAGTTAAAAGAACGAAACAACTTTTTTAGATATAATAGTAACTTTGATAAAAATTTTAATTTAACACTTTGTTCAACATGTAATTCGAGATATAATCGGGTTAAAAATGCAATTAGCTTAAGTAAAAATGAAAAAATAAATCTAGACAATATAATTAACCAAGATACAACTGACCAAAATTCAATCAACCAAGATACAATCGACCAAGGACAATCAACCAAGATACAGTTGACCAAGATATAAGTAACCAATATAAGATTGATCAAAATAGCAAAATAGAAGAAACTCAATCAATGTTCTTTACAACCACTGCATCATTTAAGTCTAACAACAATGATTTGTTTAGATCTGTAAGTGATTCTTCATATTTGTTTATTATAAGTTTCTTCACGGGTTTTTAATACTTTTGTATTATTTGGATCGATTTTAATAATTTATTTAACATTAAGTCTACAAAAACAATGGAAGTAACAGTAACTCATTTGACTGAACTAAAGGTGATAGTTGTTATTGACATAAAAAAACTAGTTCTTCTGCAGGAAAGTGGTTAACTTTTAAAGAAGAAGAAATTAATAATTTTTACCTGTTTAAATCAGATTTAAATAACTATATACGAAGATGTTTAGATCTTCGATTTATTTATAATAATGATTATGAAAAAACTTATAAAGTTAATGGTCGAGGGCAAGCTATGTGAATAAATAATAATGAGGATTTTTTAAGCTTTGTCGATGAATGTAAAAACAATATATATTTATATTATCTTAAAAAATCCAGAACAATTTCATAAAAAGTAAGTAAATTTTTTTATTTATAAGTACCGCTAAAAGAAAACATACTGTACATGCATATTAAAAAAAATACATAATTCGGATTGATTATCAATTATACATTTTTGGTACAATTAGAGATCACATTTTTTCTAATGACATATACATACCAAATGACTAGATTATTCTTGGTTCTATTTGATAGATTTATTTATTTAAGTCTTTAAGTGATTCATCGTATATTGTTTCAGTTTCTATAAATCGCACCACGATTTTTTAATGCAAATGCATCATTTGGTTCTAATTTGAATTTTTTTTTATTTAGAATACCAATAATGATGAAAAAAGAAAAAAAATCAAAAACCAGTCATATACCTAAAGAATCAGATTTAAATGAGGACGAGTATAGTCAAGCTCAAGTTATTTTGGAACTTCGAAATAAATATAAATGTTCACAACATGTTACACATGTTATGTTGAAGATGAACACCATCTTCAGTTAAATTCTGCTCAATTAACATTATGGGCTTATGATATAGTATGTAATATATAATTTATATAAACTAATAATATGAGGGTTGTTAAAAGAAGTAAATACAAATGCGGAGGACCATTTATATGACAGTCAAACCCAACGTACAGGGCAGACTATGGAATCCTGCACAGCTGTGAGAACCGAGCTTGAAACAGCGAACGACCTTGTAGA